TATTTAAGTACTCTCTTGTGCTATGCAATGGGTTTCGTGTGGTGAGTTATTCGTTGACGACAGATGTCCATAAGGCTCATGACAATCGAGAGGCTCATATTAAATCAAATTTCATTATTTTCTTGCGCCTCTACTAATCACCCAATGCTCTATGCTGCAGTTGCTTCGATTCAGCGACGTATATCCATATCTGATCCACATATTCGTACCACGTAATTGCGACGAAACGTAGAGAATGGCTCAGTATCGGATGATTACATACAGAAAAATGCGAAGTAGAATACTCAGAAAAATGTTTGTGATGACCTTCAAGGTCACTAAAGAAAGTGGTGTTCGTTAGGGTTGCACTCTTTCTCCTTTTCTGTTTGACTTTGTTATAGATTTCATCATGGAAACAGCCCTATCCTCTTACATGGACAGCAGCATCGATTTGCTCTCAGATAACAGACTGATTTGGAGTATGCAGACGACGTTGTACTACTAAGTGAAGATCCAGGTAAGTTGCAGGCGTTTCTGAATAGTTTGAGTGCCAACGTCGCTCTGTTCGATATGCGTTTTACACGTTCAAAGTGTAAAGTGTTGCTACAATATTGGGTTGGCCCAGCCGCCATCCTCAGTCTAGCAGGGGAAGCAGTAGAGGAAGTGGTGACCGAGTGGTAACGTCACCAAATTATCCCGGAGGATATGTGTTCAAATCCCAACACCTCTGCCGGACTTTCCCCATTCTGTTTTGAATGACAGCCCTTTGATTGGGCACTTCCCTCTCCCTCAATATTGTAGCATTGGAAATTCAACAAAAAGAAGTAAAATATAAAAAAGCACCACGTAGGCGAAAATATGTTTTCGGTGAATTCCTTTTCAAGCCTTTACAGTCACATTTATATGGAGCAATTTCAATATGGTGTTTGTGTGACCTTAATTTATGGGCATATTTCGTGATTTAAAATAAAATGTAGATAAATTTTATTATCTGGGTTTCCGGATCTCACATGGTGGACACATGATGGATGAATTGTGGGGACAAATACAGAATGCTGGGTTCCCGTTTACCATCTGTGTTGCCGCGGCCACATCCGGCTGTTTCTGAGGGGTCGAGTATATGCTATCGCAGTTCGGCCAGTGCCGCTTCACACTGCAAAGACTTGGCCATTTCGGGAACAGGATAAAAATAGGTGTTTGAACATCGCTGTTTACGTCGCATTGCCCTAGTCTGGTGGGTAAACCAGACAAGCAATGCGGAGGTTGGACGCAGAGTTTTAGGTAACCGCGGGCTCCCATTGGAGCAAGTGATCGACCTCCATAGATGGCGGTGCACGTGTTACGCATATCACCAGATTGGTTGCCACGGCGTGCGATGCTTGACGAGGCAGGTAGTAGGTGGGGAAAAGTCGAAGGTGGTCAAAATTAGACCTGGAGTGAGAGTATGAAAACCCTAACCAGGAGACTTGGTTGCGTTCGGCTCCCTGGATGGGGACCTCAGGATCATGGTAATTAACGGTTAGAGATATTGAGTGATACGGCTGAGTATCGCGAACAATGGCTTTCGTGCATCTATTTATTATCCTTGCAACCCTAGTCTAAATGAATTCCCAATGTTTTATTTTACTCTGCTTTCAACACTGCATCTTCCTTCTGCTCTTTTGTCCGAATGAGCAGTCAAAAGGCAGCAACGAAAACCGGCACACGAAAGTGCATGGTTGCTATAAAAACCAAACTAAGCTTATGACTGACGAAGAGCAGTGGAAATCGGTTTCTTCCTGTTTGGAAGGCATCAGCAGTACGTACGTTTCGTGTCCACATCAGGACTCGAACCGCGAACCTCTGGGGTGGAGTCGGCACTTTTATCCTTCATCTACACGACTGTCGGTGATCAATCAATTTAGACGGTCAGGTTTGAATTAGCTTTTATGGTTTTTCACAGGCACCAGTGACTGCTGGTGGTCTTGGTTATGGGCTTCACTTATTAGGAGATCTGCAAGTCTCCACCACTTAGATGCATTTTAATGCGACATACATGTTTTTATGAGCGACAAAAGGACAAAAAGTGCACTCTGCTGACCGGTCCTTGGGAGAATGAAACAGTTGTACAGTGCTCATCGAAGTGGAGACTTAACGATCTCCCAAGGAGTGAACTCCACACCTAAGGTCTGTGAAAAACCGAGTGAACTAATCCAAACATTCACCGTATAAATTCAGAACAATCACTCAATGCCTGCTCCTTCTTGCAGAGGCACATGTTGTACCGGTGCTACAAATGCCTCAGGTTGGTAGACAATAAGCTGCATTTTACAGTACGAGATCAAAGCAGGTAAGCAATCAGTGAGTACACAAATGGAATGTCTCTATTTCCGTATTTGACTCAAAGTGCGTACGTGTTCAATATGAGCTTTAGTCACGCGTGTATTGTTAACCTGCGGCATACCTGACGACGTATGGCACTAATGAGAGGCTTCGGGTTGGTTAAGCTGATCAAAGTTTTGGTTTTGTTCAGTTCTCTTTGAAGCACAGCACGGTCTACGAACCTCAGTAGCTGCTTGTCGTGCAAGTCGATGTGCATAACGGATGGATAAGTGGAGTCGAAGCTGAAGAATAAAGTATATATGAGCACCAGGAGTAGAATAGGCTTTGTAGAAAGATCATGTAGTGCCTGCCATGTTCATTATCTATTTGTAACCCTTTCAGCACCAAC